AAAAAAAAAAAAAAAAAAAAAAAGAAGTATTTTTGATCCTGTTTCTCAAGCCAGTTCTAGAGAGCAGAGGCCTGATGGGGCAGATGAAGCTGAGTTCTCTGTCAGCCCGGGTAAACAGTCTCTGCCTGGTCCAGTCTGACCTACCCACAGTCAGTACCCCAACCATCAAGTGTCTCCAGCCACTTTCACCCAAACCACTAGCCACTCCAAATGCCAGCCCTTTGTCCCCAGTGGCAGTGACTGTTGACACAATCCAGAAGCCCTTCCTGTTTCCCCACCCCTATGCCCCCAGAGCCAGTGAATCTACCTGAGCATAATTCATGGTCTCCATGGTACTGTCATATGCAGACCGGAGAGAAGCAAAGTTGATCAGCACATCCACCTCAGGATGCTTCCTCATGGCATCAGCCATGTTCTTGAAGACAGGAATCAGAATCTCCTTGTGTCCCCAATAAAACTTCTGCTTGTGGTCCCCACTGTGAGAAGGCAGAGGAAGGGTTAGGTCACCCTCCACCTGTTAGGACTGGGGAGGGGGGAGCTGAGTGGAGGAACTTCACCTAGAAGGTAGAAAAAGGAAGGTCTCTGTCTTCTTTTATGAGACAGAGTCTCACTATGTTGCCCTGGGAAGAATGCCATGGTGTCATAGCTCACAACAACCTCAGACTCTTGGGTTCAAGTGATCCTCTTGCCTCAGCCTCCTGAGTAGCTGGGACTACAGGCACCCACCACAATGCCTGGCTAGTTTTTAGAGATGGGATCTCACTATTGTTCAGGCTGGTCTCGAACTCCTGACCTTAAGCAATCTACCTGCCTCAGCGCCCCAGAGTGCTAGGATCATAGGTGTGAGCCATGACACCCGGCTGAAGGTCTCTGCCTTCAAAGAATTTTGATCCAAGGGAAAAAATTTCCCCAGGAATCTCTCTTGCCTCCATCTCTTTTGCGGGGCAAAGTCTTCTCCAACACAAGGGATGAGCTAACTGAGTCCCCAAGTTTTGTCTTAACAGAAGGAGGAGATGCTTCCTGCTATGCAATGACTCACGTGAAAGGGTAGACCATGGCGGCCACCGAGGGCTCGTCTCGGGAGCAGACGTAGTCAAAGTCCAGCATGCCTTGCACTGCCCGGGTCTGCATGCCCCACACAATGGCCTTGGTGTGACAACTGAAGAGGGTGGCGCTCTTTCCTAGTGGGCAAAGACACAGCGAGTGCACCCAGAAGACATACCCCAGGGAGACCCACAAAGGCAGGAACTGCCTGCCAGGCCCATCCACGCCCTAAGTCCAGGATGGTGGCTCACCAAAACCACAAAGAAATGCCAAGAGGACAAAGTTCTGAGAACTTAGGGAGGAGGCAACAGATGAACAGTTAAGCTAAGAAGGCTGGCCTGGCTAGTAAATAGCTCAGTAATGAATAGAGAAGAGACTTCCCATATAGAGAATGGACCCCACAGCAGAAGAAACACCAAGGGGCACTGCTTCATGTCACAGGCAAGATGTATAACCAGTCTATATGCAAATGAGGTCTTAATAAAGTCACTGGGAAAAAAATTACACTCTCCCAATTTTAGTAGTTTCAGGATTTAACAACATCCCAACAATGCTTACCAGGCCATAAACCTGGACATAAAACCAACCTTGGTCAGGGTTTGAAACTTGCAAATTCCAGGTCAGTGTAGGCCCAATGACATGGTTTATGGCAGTGGGGGCTAAGGACAGGCAGCCTTATCACTAACTGGGGCTCTGGTCAGGGCTCCAGCACAAGGCAGAAGCAGCAAACAGGTAGCACAGCACCACCGCCCCAAGCTTCTCTCTCCTACTTCTTCCGGTCTTCTCCCTTCTACCACGTGGCTCTTTCCCATTGCTCAAAACAATGCTCGTGGACAGGCTCTCCAGCAAGGGGCAAAAGGGGAGAACAAAAGAAGCTGGTGGAAGTGCTGTCCTCTAGCCAGGTGCAGTGGCGTGTGCCTACAGTCCCAGTTACTCAGGAGGCCAAGAGTTGGAGACTAACAGACTGGGCAACACAGTCAGATCCAGTCTCTTAATGAAAAAAAAGGTAGCAAGTATTTTTTTTTTTTTTTAAATAAAGGGCACCCCTCAGCCTAAAGGATCCTTCACCACCCTGAGGCAGGAACCCTCCTTTTAAGCTCCTTGGAAGTCCAGGAGGAAAGCAGCCCTCAGGGGAGTTTTCTGAGTTCCCCCAGGGAGAACACCATATCTAGCCCAGTGGCATCTGCTATTAATCAACCCACTGTACTACAGCAGGCTTGACTAATAAATTCAAGGCCTGATTAAATCCCTGTGCAGGCCCGCCTCTTCCACTGCAGCAGTAAGCTTCTCATGACAGACGCTCCCAATGTTGCAAATACCAGAGATTTACTGTCACCTTCACCCTTCTGGGCTCTGATGAGACTCGAGATCACAGAACAAGGAAAGCCACCTAATCCAGTTCTTCTACTTTTCCATCCCAGGAAAGCAAAGCTCAGAGATGCCAAGTGACAGAGGTCCTAGGTCATCTAGCACCAGAGCCAGATTGCACAATAACTCAAGATGTAGCTCAATTGTGCAACTGAGCAGGGAGACTATAAATCAGTTTGACTTCACCACTGTCATCCTCAAAGAGCCCACACCTGAGCCAGGGTGTGTGTGCGCACACATGTGTCTGTCCACCCAAGAGGCTGAGGAATCAGGGCAAAGCCTGGAATTTACAAACTACACCTCTAGCGGGAACGGGCAGAACCAAAGTGCCTACCTTTTCAAGCACAGAGAACCCAAAGCTGAAGGGGGTGATGATCCCCAGGCCCCCAGTAACAGGGAGGCCCCAGAAAGAGCCTCTGCTCTGTGCGCTAAGCCCCGGCACCAGGCTCCTCCTCTGGCCCCATGGAGGGAAGAGCTTACTCCAGCATTATCTGTATTCCTCCCTCCCCTACTCTCTTTTTTCTTCTCCCACTTCCCTGTATAGCTCAGGGACCAGGAAAAACACCTTTCTCCTCATGGGTGAAAAAGCTTTCTGAAAACCAGCATCCCACCCCTTTTCTTTCGGCACAGGGCTCAGACTCTGGTCTAGACTTCTAGGTAACAAGGGCTCTTGCCAGAGGCAGAAAATTCAGGGATTAAAGGCAGGTGGTCAGAGGGTATACTCCCAGCTTTTCCAGCTGGTCAGTGACCTACCAAGGTCCTCCTTCCCCTCCCCTTAGCAATAGGACAAAGTCATCTCAGAAGACCTCCTTTCCCCCACAGCTCTGAATGCTGAAGTTAAATGGCAAGTTTAAGAAGGTGTGTGTTTGTGCATGTTCAGAAAATGTCCACTATAAAATATGACCTCATACACCAGACAAGCCTGGGGTCCCTTCCAATTACCCAGTCTGTTGGGTACCCAGGCTGTATGCCTCTCTGGCCATCTATCTATCCAGGTCTTCTATCATACCCCTGTAGAAACCTAAACTTGTCCCTGGTATGAGGAGCTCTGGGATTAAGTTAGCAGTGGTGAAGCCAGGGCAGGGAAGGTGAGAAAATGATGACATCACGAGATGGAAGTGAGAATCAAGGTGATCTGTGGCTCCACTTCTGCATGCCAGCAGTGACAACCCCTGGCTCTCTGCACTCCCCTTTCAGTTGGACAGCTCCCTCCTTCCCAGGTGATAACCCCTCCCTGACACCACTCCACTCTCCAGAGCTGTTGGCCTGGCTCTCTCATCCCTTCACAAGCATCCACCCCGCCCGCTCCCAGGCTCAGAGCCACAGATAGTCACACAGTGAGGAGAGTGCCTAATGGAGGCACATACTAAGCAGGGGAGGAAGAGCAAAGACTCGGACTTGGGGCAGGCCAGACCCAGGCAGGGACAGAAAATAGACCAGACAACACTGCAACCCACCAGGGGACAGGGAAACACAGCACACAGTAAAACTGTAACCCATTAACAAAGCCACACGCGGAGCTGGGGCAGGGTTGGGGCATCCTACCTTGCAGGGATCTTGGACTTGGGACTGAATCTGTCAAAGAAAATGACCAAGGCAACTGAGTGACCCACTGATGGCCAGAGGCTTTGGAGGGAGAGGGTGGAACAGGGAAGGAACCCAAGGATAAGCCTATCATTTCATGGCTGTCGCCCTCACCATCTCTTGGCTATTCCACAATGGAGGGGAGGAGTAAAGCCAACAGAAGAGGTGAAAACACAGAGGTGCAGAATGGAGCAAGAGAAAGCAAAGACCAAAGGGGGCCAAGAGAGGGCGCAGGAGGAGGACAAAGGTTCATAGGTGTGCATGTGCTCAAAACCAACCCCGTAAAGTCCCCCGGGGGTAAAACTGGGCAACATGTACTCCTATCTGGACTTCCTAGCAGGCCCAGTCCCACCCTCTCAGTGCCCAATCCTTTTCTGTCCCCAAGTAACGATGGGACGATTAGAGCAGTATCAGGGCTGATCTGTCATTCAAAGCTGTGGACAAAGCTGCTGGTTGGGGGATTACAGGGCAGAAGCTTCCAATCGTAAGCCCTTGGAGCTAGCTTAATGCCTTAAGCAAAGTGTGTAACAGGAAGAAGCTGCACAGACTACCTCAGCCCAGGTAACTAACGCTGCTTATCTAATGTTGGCTGCAAGGCTGGCCAGGATCACGTCATGATGCATCGGAGGATGGAAAGATGAGATGGATTGGGCCTGCAGATGAGGACTTTTCTTACAGCAGCCTCACAAAGGAGGGAATGACTCTGTAAGAACCCCAAGATGGGGGGCAGGAACTGTTATATAGGACCCAGCTCTGTGGACCTGAGGTCCTGGCTACTGTCATCCACTTAGGAGGACAGTCGCAAGCAATGGTCTGCCTCCTGGTGTTCCTGTACACCTGTCTTTTCTGCAGCCTCCCTGCCCAGCTCACATCCCCATAAAGAGCAGGGGTAGTGAGAAGAGGGTGAGGAGTGTGACCCAGGCATAGAGTGGGTCCTCAGCCTTAGAAGGGTCCACAGGGAAGGCTCTACTCATATCCTCATGTTCCATTTCCATCCCATGCCCCATGCTCATAGCAAAGCCCAAAGCATTTTTCATCTGCCTCTGCCAACCCAGGTGGGACAGGAAAGAGAAGAGACAGGGAGGGCATGGAAAGGCCATTCCCTGCAGGGTGCTGGACCCTTGGCAGTTACCTTGTGGCATGGCAGGCTTGGCCTTCTTTGCAGGTGCCACCTCATCAGCCCTGGACTCAGAAAAAGATGCTGTCCTGCTGGGGGCTGGCGTCTAGGGTGAGACAAGAAAAGTGAGTGAGAGGGAAGTCACAGGTAATAACTGGGAAATAGCTAGTCCTTAAAGGCCTCAAAGAAATCAGGGAATAAAAAGTAGGTATATGGGGCCAGAATGGTGGCTCGATCTATAATCCAACCATTCCAGAAGGCCAAGACGGGAGGATTGCTTAGGCTCAGGAGACCAATTTGAGCAAGAGGGAGACCTCATCTCTACTAAAAACAGACAAATTATTAAGGCATCATGATATGTGCCTATAGTTCCAGCTACTTGGGAGGCTGAGGCAGAAGGATCACTTGAGCCAAGGAGTTTGAGGTTGCAGTGAGCTATGATGACACCACTGCACTCTAGATTCTGCCTCAAAAAAAGAAATAATAATTCGGAACAGGATTATAAGCTGCTTCTAAAGGTATTATTCTAACGATCCTGAGATAGAAATCAACACTGTCCCATGTTACAGATGAGCAAACTGAGCCTATGGAAGATAAGATACCTGTCAAGGTCTCTCACTCAGCAAGAAGAGAGTCACAATTTGAACTTGGACCTGATTCTAAAACCCTTGGTCTTTCCATTGCACTCCCTTGACTAGGACTGAAAAAAAATTGGCACAGAGATCCAGAATCTAATCATGTACTAACTTCCTCCTCTATTTTCTCTATGCCCCCAAATGGCAAAGGAAGGGGACTATACCCTGGGTTTGGGGAATGAGTGGAAAAGATGAGATGGTTCCTTCCTATAAGGTGGGAAGAAGGTGGCACCTACCGACGTGCTCCCACTGGCGTTGAGAAGGAAGTTTGCAGTATGGGCGGCTGTGGGTGGCTGATTGGGGATAGGCCGGTGACCCAGGGCCATGCCCACGATGGCTGTCATGTGAGTCTCTGTGCCAAAGACGTGGATAGGGATCCCAGTTGTCTTCCCTGTGAAGGAAAAAAAGGAAGCCATCTTTCAAGTCCTCAAACTCCAGTCCATGTGATTCTGCAAAGGCCCTTTTCCAGCCCTGCTCTATGTCTAGCACATTCAGTGCAAGACCAATTATCCAGGACAAAGCACTGTCAAAATCTAAACACCAGACATACCTTTCTAAAGACCACCTGCTGATAAGTCAAGCAAAGCTTTACTGGCAAGACTCAAATAACCACAAATATTGTCAGAGTCTGCATTCTTCCTGCTCATGGCCTGCACCACAGCTCTCCAGCTTCCTCAGCCATCACCTGGGCTCTGCTTCTGAACACCTCAGACCGCCCTGCTCCTCCCTCTGCATGGGGCTCTCTGGTCACAGAGCTATATCTGGCTGCTCACAAGTCTCTCAAGTACCACCCCCTGAGACAGACCTTGCCTATCTTCAACAGGGAAGAGACTGTCCCTCGTACCACCCAACCCTCTTTATCATACAGACCCCTAGCTGGCAGCGCCTTCTTCATCTAATAGTTTACATGATTAATATTCTAATTGTGAAAGCACAAGTTGGTGACAATCACTGTGCTGTCCTCAGGGCCCGGCCCACAGCACATAGCAGGTCCTAAGTAAGCTTAAGGAGAATTAATGAAAACTAGGACTTGGTACCATTGCAAGTGACTTGGTGGGGGAAGGGGGGGTCATGTTCGCCATGGACACCAAATCTGCAAAAATGGGAAGCTGGTAAGGTGTTGGCTCTCCAAGCAGAGGGTGGTTCAATGAGCAAATGTCTTTTCTCTGTCCCCCTCTGGCACCTCCCACAAGTCCTACTCCACATGACCGATTTAACAATGGGGGCTATACGTTATTTAAGATCAAAATTGCTGGTCACAAAGTTCACTTGTTACAGGTTCAATCAGGTTGACTTAGAAAGCTCTCATTTTAGTTGTGAGGAGACATGGTCCCCGACTTTTTAAAAGATAAGTTGGAACCTGCATGAGATACTCAAAATGCAGGCAGGAAAGAGGAAACCGAAATGGAAACCACACCCTCCTCTCCTTATCTCAATAAAAGGCAATTCTTGCTTCCATTTTATCAGTTGTTCCACCTTACTCCTCTTACCCTCCACATCCAGGCCACCAGTGGTCCAGGGTCTGCCTCCCCCCACCTCTCCCTCCTCATCCAAGGCACCATCCTGGACTGCTGCACGGCCTTCCTGGCGCCTCCTTGCTTCTACTCTGTCTACCCTCCTGTCTACTCTCCACCCAGCAGCCAAATAACCCTATTCAAACCGAAGTCGGATTGTATTATTTCTGAGTTCAGAGCCCTCTCCCCCAGCTGCCACCTCAGGGTCACAGCCAAATCCTCCTGCAACGTGTGTAGGCCTGTGCTGTCTGCTCCTGCTGCCGCAGCCCCACAATACTCCCACACCACAGGGCCTTCCAGAGAAGTCACAGTGATGTCATCCCTCCTCTCCTCCAGGTTTCTGCTCAAAGGTCACTTTTCTGGTCAAGCATTTTCTGACTGCCCCCTACTGACAGCTGCCCCCATCCCCTCCCACACACTCTCCTTTTCTTGGCTCCCTCACAGCACTGGGCACTCCCTGACACTCCTGTCCGTGTCCTAAACTTCAATAAGGCTTGCTGTCTGTCACGTCGGTGGCTGTAGCCCCAGTGACCAGCATTGCTCCTAGCACAAAGCAGGCAATCTGTAAATACTGCGAGGTACAGAGCGGAATGTAAATGCCTTCCTGCCCCTTCTAAAGTTTAGCAGAGACACTCTGTTTCTGGATGACAGAGAATGGAAACAGACAGAAGCTGTGTATCCAGAAAGAGGAGTGAGAGCATGGAAGAGCCTGGAGACTGACTCTTTCAGGAATCGCAAGGAGACAGGCCACCGACATTCAGGGTGGGGGAGAGAGAAAGGTCTCCAGCCTTACCAACTTCTCCCATCACCCGTAAGCCCTCCTGATAGTTGGGTCCACCTCTTCGGACAAAGATCGTGACCTCATGTTCCTTCAGGGGGCCCTGGTAATCTCGAATTGCTCTCACAATGCCCTGGAAACCCAAAGAAACAGAGACATGTGACTAAAAACAAGGCAGCCACTAACTGATTATTCATAACCATGGTAAACAAACGTCAACAGGTATCTGTGACAAGGGCAGTTTCTCAGGAAGCATGGCCTAGCAGACAAAAAAGTAACATGCTGAGTGGACTACGCACAAGCAGCACAGGTCAAGACGTAACCACAGTTCGCTGAGGGGGTACATGGGGGTTGGGAGAAACACTCCTTAATGCAGCAGTGTGTGAGTGCTCCAATGCCAGCATGGCATTGTTGGTCTCTCTCTTGTCCCGACCACAGTCATTCTTACCTCTTACTACAGCATGGAGGTGGATCTATGTTGGGCCCTACACCTGAGTTCTCAGAGTTACCAAGATACAATCGTTTTCTTTTCTTTTCTTTTTTTTTTTTGGTTTTTAAATTTTTATTTTGTTGCTTTTTTTTTTTTAAGACAGAGCCTCAAGCTGTCCCCCTGGGTAGAGTGCTATAGCATCACAGCTCACAGCAACCTCCAACTCCTGGGCTCAAGCGAGTTTGCTGCCTCAGCCTCCCAAGTAGCTGGGACTACAGGTGCCCCCCACAACACTCGGCTATTTTTTGGTTGCAGCCATCATTGTTGTTTGGCGGACCCAGGCTGGATTCGAGCCCGCCACCTTAGGTGTATGTGGCTGGCGCCTTAGCTACTTGAGCCACAGGCGCCGAGCCTGTTGCTGGCTTTTTTGTTGTTATTGTTGTTGAGACAGAGTCCCACCCTATGCCCCTGAGCAGAGTGCAGTGGCTTGGTAGCTCACTGCAACCTCAGACTCTGGCTTGTGGGCATCCCACTGCCTCAGCGTCTGGAAGCCACTGGGATTACAGGCACTTGCCACGGCGCCTGGCGGATACAATCATTTTCAATGTCAAGATCTTACAAAAGCTTCTTAAGTGATTTAGGGGGACAGATCTCACCATGGACACCCACTTTAGAAAGATGGAAGGTTGAGAAAGTGTGTACCAGTTCTGCGTATCCAGACCAAGGGCTAATGTTTGAGCTGGGACTGATTTCTGTCACCCAGAGCATTGCCCACAAAGCTCCATCCTGTTAGGTCTGCTTTAGACCTAACAGTTCTTAACCATAGGGCTGCTCAGAAATGAAAATGAAGCCATCACAGCTCACCTGGCTCAGAGTTATCTGCTGAGTCAGGTCCAGTTAGGGAGATCAGGTTTTAGGCCTGGTCTTTGATTGCTTGAAAGCTCAGAATTTCAAGATTGACACTTATTTATACATTATTCTCAGGCCAGGTGTGGTGGCTCATACCTATAATACTAGCATTCTCTGAGGCAGAGGCAGGTGGATTGTTTGAGGTCAGAAGTTTGAGACAAGCCTGAGCAAGAAAAAGACTCCATCTCTACTAAAACTAGAAAAACAAGCCAGGTGTTGTGGCGGGTGCCTATAGGCCCAGCTACTTGGGAGGCTGAGGCCAGAAGATCCCTTGAGCCCAAGAGTTCAAGGTTGCTGTGAGCTGTGACGCCCCAGCTTTGAAACCTTCCATCTTTCTACCCAGGGTGACAGAATGTGACTCTGTCTCAAAAGAAAAAAAAAAAATTATGCTGGGCGCAGCAGCTCACACCTGTAATCCCAGCACTTTGGGAGGCTAAGGTGGGCAGATTATTTTAGCTCATGAGTTCGAGACCAGCCTGAGCCAGAGTAAGACCCTATCTCTAAAAAAATTGCTGGGTGTTGTGACAAGTGCCTGTAGTCCCAGCTACTTTAGAGGCTGAGGCAAGAGAATCACTCGAGCCCAAGAGTTAAGAGGTTGCTATGAGCTGTGATGCCACGGCACTCTACCAGGGGTGACAAAGTTAAGACTCTGTCTCAAAAAAAAAAAAAAAAAAAACTGAAAAAAATTATTAATTATTCCTTATTCTTAAAACAGATGTGGCAAGCTCTCATAGCCTTACAGAGCATCTAACAGAATAGGATAGTAAAGGGCCTCCTGAAGTGACTACCTTAGAAGGGGATGACTTTCATGTGGTCTTAGTTCTGTTATCCTTGTTGGCCAGCAGTCACATGTTCTTTAAAGCATGTGCAAATGGCCCAGACACAGGACCCCAGCTGGATGAGCAGGAGCCCCAGATCATCGGAATGCTTTCCTCACTCCAACCTTCCCCAACAGGAGCAAGAGACCCTACCCAGACCAGGCAACTCAGGGGAATTTGCCTCTGCTCAAACCTTGCCTGCAAGACCCCTTCCCTGCTTTCCCCAAACCACTTTCCCACCACAACTGCACTAATTACCTTAAATGTGGCAGCCACGTTGGTGAAGTTTGCAATGCTGCCTCCGATGATGAGGATCTTGCCTAAGTTTGTGGTAAAAATAAAAAAATGGTTAGAGAGATAAACTTGAGCATCTTCTCAGAAATCCAACTGAGGGAGCTCTCTCCTCTGCATAAGGTAAAAAGGATCAGGGAGTGGACAGGACAGTCTCTCTCGATGTCTCCTGACAGCCTTATCAGTTCAGCCCTCTGCTACCAATGCCACAGGGCAGTGGTCAATCTAAACCCACAGGATCTCTGCAGCATTTCTACTCAGCATCCAGAAATCCAGTTTGGTTTCCAGATATCTCCGGTGGGACTCTCTTTCTCTGGCACAGGGGAGGGGAACTGATATGTGCAGCCTCAAAACATTGGGCAGGTGATAAAGGGGTGGACGCTGGGAATCAGCCTGGGTAACACATAAGAGGGTCACTAGGAACTGAGTTTTTATAGCACTTAGACCCAGAGCACACTGCTACGCCCTCTTCCTCCTCACACCTGTCTACGGAGCCCCCACGTGTTAGATGCTATCACTGCCTATTACGCAGTCAGGGAAACTGAAGTCCAGAAGTTAAATGACTAGCTCCAAGCTGCAAAGGACCTGGACCCACAGCCTCAGTGACTCCTAGTACAAAGCTGTTTCCACTGTATCATGCTAGGCTATTTTGGGAGAAGGGGTGTGCGTGTGTGCACGTGCGCGTCTCACCATCTGGGTGCTTCTCACGGGTCATGAGGGAGAGGATTGTCTTGGCGTAGTCATAGGTCTGCTGCTCGCTGGGGGCACCCGAATATTCCCCATAGTTTGCCAGCTCATTGACACCCCCTAGATCACAGATGGTATCACTGCCAAGGAGACACAGAAGTCAGTGCTTGCTCTTGGGGCAGCAGGTGGCAGCCTGGTGCCTAAAGGACATGCAGATGCCCCAAAGCACTGAAGTCAGCCTGTGGAACTGCGACCCACAACTGTGCTATATCACACCCTTCTATGCAGAGCACACTGCCAGACCCAGGGCTGCAGGGGCCCTTGACAGCTAGTGGTAGGTAAAATGACCAATTACTTCCCTATGCCACAAAGACAAGAAAAATCACACTGTAGGACAGGCTGCCCAGGAGAGAAAACTGTGCTGTAGCCAGCAGAAGGAGCCTCAGCCACCCACGGGAGAAAACGTGGCAGATCACACATCAAGAAATGAGCAGATGGGGCAGCGCCTGTGGCTCAGTGGGTGGAGTACCGGCCCCATATACCAAGGGTGGCAAGTTCAAACCTGGCCCCAGACAAACTGCAACAAAAAAATAGCTGGGCATTGTGGTGGGCGCCTATTGTCCCAGCTACTAGGGAGGCTGCGGCAAGAGAATTGCCTAAGCCCAGGAGTTGGAGGTTGCTATGAGCTGTAAAGCCACAATACTCTATGGAAGGTGATAATATGAGACTCTGTCTCAAAAAAAAAAAA